GGTTTTAACTCTCCATGTCTCCCTTCCTCTGCCCGTCTCAGGGAGACCGTTTTAAAAGGAGTTTTAGGAAACCAGTTTCCACATTTCACAATGCACATTACATTACCCAATTTTACAATACACATTGTACAATGAATATCTGGTGATGATAATTTAATAAAAGAAAAGCATCAGCCCTGATTTTCTCAGGCTTCACCAGCTTGGGAGGGTACATGACTCTACGTTAATGAATAAACCACACATCCCTGGCTCCGTGAGGCCGTCATCCCCAGAAGGTTCTCGAATGACCACATTCACAAACAGTCACAGATAGTTCTTCCTGCCTCTTCCCCAGGAAGTCACACAGAAGGGATGGTTCACCACCACCCCCGCTGCCAAGACCCACGGTGAGCGACAAAATGGATTCCTCGACAAGAGTGCTGGTTCCACATGGCCGCAAAGTGGCAAGGCCAGCGGCCGCCGTTGTGTTCCCCACGATGCTCTGCACGCTGCAGACAACGAGTTCAAATCCTGCCAAAGCACAACTCCCAGCCCTGTCTCTAGGTTTCTGTACGTGAGGCTCAGACACTAGCTGCCCAGCACGGACGAAGTATTAATACTCAAGCCCTGCTTGTCTTTCTCCCTGACCAAGAAGCAAGAGTGAAATTCCCTGCTGTCTTGGGCTCCCAGGGCCTCCACACACAATCACATACAGCTAGTTGGGTCCGAATTCAGCTGTGGTTCTTAACGGCATTTTCCAACGTCAAGACTGTCACACTTTTTTTTTTTTTATAATTGTTTTTAATGTTTATTTATTTTTGAGAGAAAGGGAAGGACAGAGCGTGAACAGGGGAGGGGCAGAGAGAGAGGCACAGAATTCAAAGCAGGCTCCGGGCTCTGAGCTGTCAGCACAGAGCCCGATGCAGGGCTTGAACTCACAAACCGGGAGATCATGACCTGAGCTGACGTTGGACGCCTACCAACTGAGCCACCCAGACCCCCACACTTTTTCTTAAATTATACCCTTCGATTCAGTAGTTACTGCCGAGTCACTTTTCTTTTTCTTTTTCTTTTTTTTTTAGGGAAACAATTGAGTACAGAAAAGCTGTTAGGCACAGGATGTATATTGAAGCATATATTGGAACGAGGAAGCAGGTATCACCGAATGCTCTATCATTAGAGCATGGTCAGGTGAATAGTGCATAGACAATAAAAACTATGCTTATGGAGGGAAGATGTTTGTCACATAGGATAAAGTGAAAAAAACCAATCAGAACATTAAGTTTTGTACTTACATGACTATAATGGTATAACATTAAAACAAAGTATGCATAAAAAGTCAGGAAGACTATAGAAATAATCATTACCAAAATTTGTCTTTCAGTAGTAGAATACTGGGTGGTTTCAAAAATATATTTGT